CAGGAGCGACATGGTAAATTCTTTTCTTTCACACACTTATATCTTATGGATGTGGGTACATGTTGTTTAATTCTATCCTGCAGTCTTTGTGAAGTGCGACCTACGTAACGACATTCGCACTGGCACGAGAATTCATAAATATCTGGACTTTTCTATGTGGTAGGTATCGCATCTGTGTGTGTTGGAGGCAACAACTTATGTGTGGAATAAGCACAGTAAGAACACTGCAGGAAAACATTTAGTAATGTCCATTTTCAAATTTTGTTTTTTAACCTATTAACTGCTGCAGGAGCAGCTCAGTTGCCATTTTCTGACTCTCAGATAAAACTGAGTTGCCATAAATCACAATAAAATAGTAATTATCATCATTCGCATAGAGTTTTATATGTGCGACTGACGGATATTTCTGTCATTCGCAGCTGAGCCATAGAACTTCAATGACCAAAATAACTGTCATCCGTAGTTAATGGGTTAAGATCTGTGCAAGAACTCAGCTAACAGATGTTTCCATATATAAAAGCTATCTTCAAGAAAATAATTTAAGAGATCTAACCATTAAAGACAACCCTTTTACCCCAGGATGATTCTAGTAGCCCTCCTCTGAACCCTTTCCAGCCATTCAGTATACTTTCTCAGATAAGGAAACCTAAAACTTTACACAGTATTATAATGAGGCATAACTATTCACTTGTATAGATATAATCACCTCTTTTGATTTTCAGTCAGTATGTCTATTTTAGTTTTATTACTGTTAACAAAGCACTGTCTTGTGACTCGTACTGAAATCCTTTTTTGAGTCACATTGTTGAGTGAGTTCCAATATGTATTGAACATCATACAAATTGTTATAACCTGTAAGCATTACCTTTCACTCTCTATAATTTTGTACAACTTACCAGTTGATTCATGTCATTCTATACTACCTCAGTGTCCTCAGTCGCTGGGAATTTCCAAGAGTGTAATGTCATCAGTAAATTTGATTAATAATTCCATTATCAGTGTCAATAATGTAAATACGAAAAAGTAAATGTCTAAGCACTGACCCCTGAAGCTTCCAATCATCTAGATTGTAAGTAAATTTCTCTAAAACATTTATAAGATTAGTAAAGCAATAATAATAATTACAAGTTAAGACATTTAAAAATTTTGGATTAAAAAAGTAAGTAAATAGAGTTGGGTGAATAAAATCAATTATCTATGACCATTGGTTACATTGATTAGTATCACATTAAATGATAAACTAGTGTTTCTGATTCCTTCTGTTTTCTGTTATTCCAACTATCCAGTAATTGAAATCACGATTCAATCAATTAAAGTTTTGGATTTTCCAAATATCCGGTGACTTAAAGTACAATTAAATTGATTAATGTCATAAAATAATTCACTAATTGAAATTGTTGTTTCCATTTATTATTGTTTTCAATTATTCCAAGTATCCAGTAATTAAAATAATGTCATTATGTTTGTTATTAAGTGAAAAACTACATAATGAGCTATCTTTGCTATACCTACCGTGGGTATCAAATTGTAGTGTTACCAATAATCGATTAATGATCAAATGATTAATTGTTTAGCAAATTTCACTAACTGCCTAGCTTGATTACTAAATCACATTCCTGTATAATTCTATGATATTACATGTTGTATAGGTTTGAACCTAAAAAAGCTAGTTTTTGTTTATAGCCTATTGTACCCGATGTGTAAATGTATTCTTATCATTTCTAATCTCTATCCTCCAGTCACATAAGCCCCACATAGGAGGGGCATATCTAGGAATATATTTTTTCTGAGGTAAAAATTGATTTTTTTTCAAGTGAAGAAGTGCTAAAATCACTTACCAATCTTACCTATGGTTGACTTCTTAAAGAATTGAGTTATTACATACTGGTTTCCCATTTCATTTTGCTGTAATGACAGTAATTCAGATGCTGAGTTATTTACTACAAAATATTTTTTTTCTAAGGCAGTTGCCTTAGTTGTCTGTGTTAGTTATGTGCCTGCGTATGTAAACAGTTAGCAGTGTTAAACACTTGTGCCAAGTCACAGCTAGTATTTCTCTGCTTCACAGAAAACAAGGTTGAAGTGTTTACAGTTTATTTTCATGCACCAGTTTATTAGATCAGATGCTATTCTGGGAGTTAGTTGTAAATTTTTCCATTATTTTGATATCCTTTCTGTGGTATGTAAGGAAATGAAAACCACACACTACTCCAAATGAGGCTTCACCCATAGTCTTATCCAAGTCAATATATAAGTGCATCTCTCTCACTACTTTTTTCTTTAATTGAAAGTTATGAAAAAAAATTATTTTCTTTGTTCAAGTTATTGTTGAAAATTAAGTTTATTTCCTGCATTCATTTTACAATTGTATTAACAATAATTTGGAATATGACGAAAGACAATGGGAAATTATTCTTCATTGTTTAGAAATGTGAAAACTTTAATGTCTTAAAGCAGTTGTGATGTAATTGGAGCCAACATGGTTGTAAGAAAGTATGCAATAATTGTTTTTAAGGTAGATTGCTAGGATGCTTCTTATATGTAATTAATAAAAGTTGCATTCCTGAAATTTTATAAGCTATTTAGTTTCTGTTTTGTATAATAGTTGTTCAAAGTTCATGTATTTATTTTAATAGTGACCATGTTGTTTGGACATAACTTACTACCTCCCATTACTGCCAAATTTAACAAGAAAGACATACAATCATTCTTAAAATCTTTTGGTGTTGTAGTAAGTTATTTAAACAAAACCTACAGTACATTTACTCCCACAATGAAAATCATATTGTATATACATTTATGAAGAGCTTCCCATAGAGACCAAAAACTGTCTTCAAGTATATCCTTTCTATACAAAACCTTTTTTGAGTCATTTACAGTACTTATACCTGTGCTCAATGAATATTATTTATCTTTAATTTTTTTTTACTAAGAGAGGTAATATAGCTCGAAACACTTGAAACTGCAATTCCAAGCTACTCTGGATATGGAATTATACTCTGCTATACCACTACACAATGAAAACTATAACATTGTGCCAAATTTTGATGGAAAGATAGATGGTTTAAACACTTTTCTGTTATGAAAGAATAAGCAGATGTTTATTTCACTCTGTCACAACCAGGTGTGTCGGTTCTATGCACTTGTCGTATGGTTCTATTACAGTGTGAAAACATACTACTGGATGGAATAGTTTGAAACTTCAGAACTTTCTAGAGATTATCTAACTTCTAAAAATAAAATATCTTATTTCTAAATATGATATTTACAGGAGTTCTCAGCTTATATCATTGTGAATCTTTTTTTTAAAAGAAACAATTAAAATTGTTTACTTTTTTGTATATTTTAATTACTACTTTTTATCTTCCTAAGCTATTGTAAAACTTTCCTACAAAATTTTTATTTTATAAAATTGTAATTTTACTTTTTGTTTTTTTGATCCAAAAGCTCTCCATGCAGTTTCATTGAGTTTACAATTACTGGTACACAGTAAAAATAACATTTTCACCATACCAAAATTATAAGCAAACAGACCTAATTAATTGTTAATCAGAAATATATGTAATAAGTTTTTTATATTCATTTATATGTTTTTTTACATTTCCCATTCAAGCAGTTACTGGGGCCAATGAGGCATAATGCAGTGGCTGTGTTGGCAAAATGAAACTTGATACAGTTGAGTGCAAAATGATTTATCTAAGCGTACCTCATCTTGTCTCACAGATTTTTTTTTTCTATCATACTGTAAAATCATGATTGAAATTAAGTATAACATGTTAAAGCAAGCTTTTTGCAATCTTAAGAAATCAAATCAGAGTTGTGATTGTAGTAGAAGTTATTCACAAACATCTTTTCTTCTAGCAACATCTACCAAGCTAAGCTTTTATCACTTTACTCTGACCTGTACACAAATCTTGGCTGAACTGAAAATCATATTGGTTTATACAGTTTTGAAAAGAGCAGAAAGAAAGAGCTTTCATTACATGTTGAATTTACTAATCTATGACTTTTTGAAGCTAATATATAGGCAATTACATTAGACCATGACAACCAAGGTTGAGAAACAGTGATTAACTAAATATAAATTAAGGTACACTTGTATTCTAGTTGCATAGTCAAATTAGAGCAATTGTTTTCAAAATTTTCTCCTAAGTGGCTAAAACTAATTTGTTTCAGAGCATACTGAAGCCAACCATAAACCAAAATTTGCAATTTCTTTGATATTCATATGTAAGTATTAAATTAAATAAATAAAACTTTGTTGAATAAATTTCATCTCTAAATATTTTTTAAATATGTTGAAGAATGACTATAAATTTATAATCTATAATTTCTAAATTCAGTTGTGCAGTTTTTCTCTCAGGGTGAGATGCATCCATGGACATCATAGAGTTAAAATACACAGGTAATTACATCCTGGCCTAGAAATTAGATCATCATGTTTAGTAAAATATCTTAATTAGTTACTGTTATAAGTAGGGAGAAAATGTAGATTGGTATATTTAATCAAGATTATACACTAAAATAGTTATTGTTAATGTTATTACTATTGTTTATTTACATGTTACTGATATCTCAGTATATCAGTATTCAATTATTTGTTTCTGCATCTACAGGCTTTATCTGATCCACATCTCTTGATTTTTCCTTTCTTAGAGAAGTTCTTCAAGTTGAAAGTAATAGAAAATTTGCTCGGAATGACAAATATTTTGTGTGATAATTCGTCAGGATTTGGGACTACATCTAGACTTGAAGGGATTGTGAACATATTATGCACATAACCTGTATTTTTATCATTTCAGGAACCAGAAACTGAGGCATTGTTGCATATAATTATAAATTTAAATAGTATATACCTGTAGTTTAACTAATATAATGTATGAAAAATGTTCTTTCCAGATATAAATGAGCTGAACCTACCAAAAACATGCCAGATAGATTTTCCTGATCCAGATGATCTTCTTAACTTCAAGTTGATCATATCACCCGATGAGGTAAGTACATATATATTTATATATATATCTATATATATATATATATATTTGCACATAAAGATTATTTTTCTTACAAAGAAGGATCACAATAAAAAACAACAACATTTCATTGCAGTGTTGTATTTCTTTCAACTGTGAGAAAATATTTTACTTTGTGATTAATTTTTTTCCCATATAAAGGAAATTGTACTAATTAGCTACATGAAAATTATATACAAGCTATAACTACTTTGTATGTTTATACATTTTTTCCAAAACAAAATGTTTTTCAATATTTATTAATAGAAAATTTATAAACTTAAACCTAACCCCAATTTTCATTCATATACTGTTTGTTAATTAATGTGCAGTTATATGATCAAAACTACAGACTACATTAGATTGTGAATGATGAGTTTGACTTCTGTAGATTTATTTCTTCTGCTTGGACTTTATGATTTAAAAAAATAATTTTCAGGGATTTTACAGAGGAGGGCGATTTGTTTTTAGTTTTAAAGTTAGCCACAATTATCCTCATGAGCCTCCAAAAGTGAAGTGTGAAACCATGGTTTACCATCCAAATATTGATTTAGAAGGAAATGTCTGTTTGAACATCCTAAGGTAAGAATTTGTACGAAAAATAGTTCTTTTTTTATGTTCTCAGCTTAAAAGTATGAAAACAAAATGCAAAAATTTCATATCCTTGAAAAGTTTTTGACTTAATCATACATATATATTGGAAGATTATCCAAAAAAAGGGGCAACATTTCTGTTTGTAAGTACTCATTCTATTACATATTTCTACATAAAATACAAAAAATCCATACTTTTCTATAACTTTTGTTCTTTAAAGCTAGAAGTCTGTTTTCCAGTCAAGTAAATTTCTATTAAAATGAGATTTTTTTACAACACAATTTTAGTACTATATATAAATGAGTTTTCATGTGTAACAAAAAAGGTGAGTTGGTGACGGGCTTTTTAACCTATTAATGTTACCCTTTGCCTACTATAAACAAAACCCCACTAACTCATTTTGACTGTTCATAGATATGTACTGATTCAAAAATATTTAAATGATTTTGAAATAACAGCCCACATCCAAAAATAGAGAACAGTTTGTTGAGTTGATAAGTCATCCAAAGAATTACCACAATTTTATTAAATAATTTGGCTTCAAAAGTTTAAACCTGTTACTCCTAATACTTCATTTCCATTTTCATCTCTCAAGTCGACTTACAAGGACATCATCCAAGTGCATAATTCCAAACAGTTGAATGAAGACTATATTTACACTGTGTAATTCATTGTCTTTCAGTTAATTATCATTTTCTTGAAGCTTGTCTCTGCACTTTTTTTTCTAACAACATTGCATACACAATTCTAGATGATGCCTCACTAATGTTTGATACAAGTTTACAATAACTTTTCTATTTTTGAATTAAAGATTTATCTAAACAGGACCCCCAGATTCCAATAATTTCTTAGCTACAACTAAGGGTTTTATCAATAACCTCAAAAAAATTACTTTCTGTTTTTACAACACTGACATTCTTCATAGGCAGGAAATACATCACTACATTTATTGCACATAAATCCTTTGTAAATTTCTAAACCTGAAATAATCACAATTGTGAGAAACAGTTTATCCTTAAAAACATATAGGCACATGTTTTTAAAATTTGTGCTATGTACTACATGTAATTACTTCTACTGTTCAAGTACGTTACCAATCTTATTTGTACACTAATGAAAAGGAATCAATTAGGTAGCATTTCCAAATTTTTAACAGATTACTAAATCCTGCTCTAGCTTTTCTACACTCCTGCAAAAAAAAAAAGAACTGCAAATGTTTAATCCTCTCCTGGTTCGTTTAATATATATATTTTTATAATAGGTATTATCCAGTTAGCTATTCTTTATATCTTCCAGGAGATTAACACTCATCTTATAATAAAGGAACAAATATTGCAAATGAGATATCTTGAAGATCTTGTAAGCTAATGAATTTTTCTTGGTTTTCATTAAACTCATAATTGTTGTAGATACATTAAGTTCATATAATCATAACAGCAGAATAACTACTTATGAAATTCTGAGAATAATAATAACGGAATTATTCTTTAGGTAGATGGGTAGTAATGGTGTCTTGCCCTTACTTTAGTGCTCTTATTCCTAAGTTATTATGAAAGGCAGTTACTGTCTAAATGTCTAGGTGAATTCAAGCCTTTTCATTATACGTTATATGTTATATTTATAACACTTTTGTCTAGTTTAATAACCATGATAAAGCAATACCTTAATAATCAATATCAAAGTATGAAATTTACTGTTGAATTGGAAAATAAACTTAAATTTTCTTTTATAGATACCTTTCTTGAACAAAATTCATCTGGTTTTCATGTCAGTTGCTTTCATATTTAGACTTTTGTGGGTTTTTATGACAATTTTGAAAGTTTTATACCTGAATATTTTATTTGTAGTAATCTTTCCTTTTTCAAACATTATTTACTTAATATTAAATGTGTTGCAAAAAATGGGTTTCCACTTAACCCTTTAACATTGGGCAAGGTTAAGGTATGCATGTCACAACCTTTTACAAAGTTACATTCATAATTAGTTATATAACTTTATTATCAATGCATGTTAATAAGTTTGGCATTAAAATGTAGTTTATAACTCAAATTTGTAATATGAATATTATATAAAGTTTAATTTCTTTATTTCAAAAGTAAATATTTAAATACATTTTCAATCTTCTCTATCTCATGACAGTTCTTTACTCCAAATTGCCCATTTTAGATTTTCTTTTTAGCCCTCTATGATCATCTGAATTTGGTACAAATTACATGCTCCTATCACATCTTGTCTTTTAAATAATGTCTGTAATTCTTAACAATATTTGCTAGTGGATGTTTTATAACCAATAGGAAGAGAAGTTTTTTATTCACTAAATTTGTTTTGAGCCTATCTCATTCTGACAACAGGTTTTAATCAATTTGGCCTTTTTTTCTTTGTTTGCTATTGTATTGTTCACATCGAACATCTGATGGAATTTATTTAACCCACTTATAGCATAATTAAAATTTTGTGTTCTTAATTGAATATTTAAAATGAATACAAATTATTTTATATATTACTACCATTGTTACAAAAAAGTAGTTTTAAGTTTTATAAGAAAACTTAAATGTAAAAATTAAGTAAACAAAGTACTCATAAAGTGGACATCATTAGAATATATCATGTGTAATTAATTGTCTGTTACAATATGTAGTCATTTTATAATACAGAAAGGTTAATTTAGATGTATTTCTTATTATTCAATTTTTTACTTTACCCTTCATTGCTGATTTTATTGCAACTTGCATTTTGAGATTATCATTTGTTTAAATTTATTATATTAGTATATATATCAACTTATTGCAGTAACAGTGATTTTTGCAATAGAACATTTATCAATAATTTTGGATGTTTTAAGAAAAAATAATTTCTTGTTTACTTTTAGGCCATTTAGTAAATGTAGAACATATCAGAACTGAAATTCAATTTTATACATATCATATGTTGGTATAAGATTTACAGGAAAATGTTAACCAAGAAAATACTTTCAAATTGTTTTAGGAGTGTGTTTCCCATACATTTAATAATGTTAAAAAAAAATAGCATTCCTCAGACCACATAATGTGTTATGTTAAAAATATGGAAAATCACAAATAAAACACTCACTTTTGTGCTTATTTGTCATAAGCTTTTCACACCACACCTACTGTGAACCAACTCACTTTCAATTAAATAATGTCACCAAACACTTTTAATAACTAATAGGATGGACTGGTATGAACAATTTTCAGAGTTAAAACTTGCAAAAGAATGTTTAAATTGCAAGTTACTTATCCAGTTGAATTACTCATTATATTTCTATATTGGTTATAGCAAATGTGAAATGTGCAAATAAAATCAAAGGAGAGACAGTTTTATTGAAAGACAAGCTTATTAATATTATTTACATTCATGAATGACATGGTATAAAATCCATAGTTATATCTAACCTGTAGGTTTTTTTTTTTTGCTTTTTAAGTGCTGTATAAGGCAAAAGTGGTTATAATTTCATTGTAGAGGTCATTAGTTAGACCATATTAACTAAGTCTTGGACTCCTTACCGTAGGATGGACATTGAATTGTTGGAAAGGGTTCAAAGTAGGGCTACTAGGGTGATACTTGGTATAGAAAGGTTGTCATACAAAAACCTGTTAAGATTTCTGGAACTTATTTCTCTTCTAAAAAAAAACTAGAGTTAGAGGGGATTAACTTTATCTCCAAGTTCCAAAAATGTACTGATAACAAAATATATTACTAATCTTCTGTCTTGATCATTACATGTTTAGTGTGCACTCAACTTGATGAATAAGTTTTAAGTAACCATGTATTTTGTCATTGTATCTAAATCATGAAAGATAACTTTGATATGTATTTCATGCCAAAATAGGTATGGTGTAATTAAAGTAACCTGAATTGAAAAGAAGGTAATAAATATGTGTATGTATAAAAATTAAATGCTTTATTTTTTCACTGTAATAATTTCTAACAGTTTTGTATAAAGCTTTAATTCTATTACTTTTCCATTTGTCTAACATTTTATATTATTGTAGCAGGTTTTATTCTTTGGTAGGTTCTTTTTTCTTTTGGAGTATTTGATAAAAAGAATAATACAAAGGGTAGTACACTTAATGATAATGAAAGTGTTTTATTTCTTTGACTTCCAGGTCTGTAATGTAGCTTAACTAATACTTGCTGATATCCATAAGTACACAATAGATACTAATACATCAGTTTCATTTACTTGCTAACTTTTGTATGTACAGCACTCTCATCTCTCTTGTACTTTGTTTCAAACGTACACTCAAAATATAGAATATAAAATATAGAACACTGAAATAACTTACTATTTTGATGACAATTACAGACAAACTAATTATCAAACTCCTACCTCAGTAATTAACCGACTTCACTCTGCTCATTAATCTCATAGTTAATCAATGCACCATAGCATAACTCACTTTTTTATGTGGCTTTTATTTTTTACTACGCTTTCAAGAAGATTCTGGTATTAAGCCATGCATATCACAATATGTCCAACCTCCCTCTGGCCAAAAACAATGTGAACATGTAAATTCCGATAAGGTACACCCCTATATTCACAAGATTAGCGTTACTCATTTTGTGCTGCCCTCTATATGCAAACATTTTTCAGAAATGCATGCCACAAGCCTTCATCCTCCCTCTGTTGGAATCCAAAGTTCCAACACGTCTCTCATTCATATCATCATACGTCACCCCTCTACCAATAGGAGAACACTACTATCATGTGATGCATGTGACTCCCTCTACACGGCACTACCAAACTATCACTTCGAAGTTTGGTAGAAGACACAAGCACTGGAAGATTGTGGGAAGGAAGGGCACGGGCAACCCATTGGGGGATATATCGCCACTCATTTGCCGGGAGATTGAGCGGTATATGAGCCAACCTCTCTTGCCTACTTCTGCCTCACTTCATCCTGAGCCTTTCGGGCTGGGCCAGGCAGTAGATGATTTTGATCATTTGTTCCCCATCTGGAGTTTGC